TTTCCCTTTTTGTCTAGTTCGGAATAGCTAGAAATTTACAGTGGATGCTTTTGTTTGCACTTCAACCACCGGAAAAAGTGCTGCAGCATTACATCTTTGACAAACTTGCATGCCATTATTGACTTGGCCTTTATTGATCAATGGTTGGTTAGGTATTTCATCTTTTTCTGATTGAAAGCTGGCTGGGGCCTTTGGTTGTGGAAAATATCTCAATGATTTGTCGGAGCTGTGGTTTGATCCAAATACTGCGCCACCCCTACCCCCCCCCCCCCCCGGCCCCAAAAAAAAAAAGCCCAAGCACGCCAAAAAAGAAATGTTCAACGCTCAAAATGTAAAAGAGAAAGGGAAATAACAACCATAGCTGGTGACTTTGCAGCATTAATTACCTCTGTCATTAATCCTAATAGACTAAAAACGTTACTTTGCAGGGGAAAAACTGAAAAAATAACCGCTGGTTCACTTATCAAAAACATGGAGTGGAATTAGTAATAAGGGTTTGGCATGTAGCAACATAATTGGACAATGATTGAGTGCTTTCTTAGCATTTATGCTTGTGAAATTGCCAATATAGTCACTCGCAGTCCCACAAGTTTTTTAGCACTTAAAAACTTCAGACATTTTGTGTCAAAATGTCTTGTTTTTGCATACCATACAAAATTTAAGTGGTGAAAGTTTGAGGAGTTCCTTTGTTATTATTCTTTTTTCTTTGGAGTACAATATACAATCAACTGAATTATAAGTGAAATCGACCTTTAGTTCACAATATAATTATAAATTTTGACTGAATTGGGTGTTTTGGGAAGGGGGAAATGAGCGTGTTCTCGTGGATTTCAATTTTTACTATTGAATTATTTGCCTATGATATATGACAAGTTTAACTTAAATGGAGTTGTGATAATAGAAGATTGTCTAAACTCGAAAGAAGGCTTCAAAAGGTGGAAATTGAAAATTAATATGAATGGACTTGTAAGATCATCATTAATTCTTTATTTAAATTATTCATGCTTGCACGAATTCATAATAAATTAAAAAAAATAAACCATGCCAAGGCACATGCAAGATGCTAGTTCAAATTTGTACATGTATAGAGTCACAAATCGGTTTGGTGCACTAGCAAACACAAGGGAACATCTAAAGTATTAGGACAAGTTTGACATTAAAGTGGAAGATTTGTAGAGCAATTGAGCGTAAACAAATGAGGTTGAGGAAAAATTTATATCAATTGCAATACAATCATGAAGCCCCTGACACATTCGTTAAAATAAGAAATATTTATTAATTTGAGGTAGTCTAATAGCAAACCAAGGGGAAAAAAATATGAATGATCCGTAAGGAGGAAAAATGTCATTTTACTTTAAATAAAAGTATGAATGGATAGGGGTTTACTTGAACAAAAAATTTAGACTAATATCGTAATTTGGTGCAGTCTAATAGCAAACCAAGGAAAAAAAAAATACTGAGTACCCGGGTTTGGTGAAGCCAAGAAATAATGAGAAAGTGATTGGCTGGTCCACGCACTTACTTGTATTAGCGGTAGAGTCGTGCAGCACCCTTTTAGCATGTCCGCTGTTGGAAGAAGGGAGAGAAATGACAGGGCGGTATGATGTGAGCCAGCTACTAGATTAGATAAACCTCTTTTTTTTCTTTCTTTTTTTCAGGTAGTGGAGTGATTACACAGACTATTTAAGAGGAAATATGTTATAAAAGAATTTTAACAAACACAAGAAAATTTTCTTAAAATGCCCAATTATTTTAGTGGAAAATTTAGCATGAAAATATTTGTCTGGCGAAAAATTTTAAATTGACAAACAAAAATTATTGTAAATTTATTGTTCATGTTTCTCGGGACGGGGTAATTATGATAGGGTGAAGGGGTGTACTGTGGTGAGTGAAGGTGTGCCTCTTGCTATCAGTGAGTGGTTGAAATTTAAAGGGCTACCATCACCTTGAGTCATGTTCACGTATAGAGATATTGCACCTTTTGGAAATGTACATTTCATTTATTCATGGACCTGCCAGTGGGCATGAAAGTTGCCATGAAACTTAAGGGTGAGCAAAATTATCTACTTATTTGAAAATCTGTCGTATTCGATTCGATTCAATCCAAAAATTAAGATACCCTATTTATATTATTTGATCGGATAGGATTGGGTACCCGCTAAGATACGGGACGGATTAGGATCACATACCCGACCCGTCCAACATATATATATTTATTTGTTATTTTTATATACATACTATAAAATAATAATTTAGAACTAAATAAATAATTTCATTGAACAAATTTTATTATAAATATGAGAGACTATAGTTTGTTTACAAGATTCATTTGTATAGATCATGATTTTATGTTTTATAGAAAAGAGTTTAATTAATGTGAAACATATATGTCAAATTTTTATTGATTTGAATACTTTTAATTTTTTTCCTTTATCTTGTATTCTCTTCGCATGTTTGTTTCTTGGTGAGAGTTTTTTTGAAAAAAAAAAATCTTTATTAAATTTTAAATGAATGTGTAAAATATAAATTTAAATTAGTATAAATCTTTTTTTTTTATTTTAATGATAAGTGTGGCGGAATGGATACCTGTTGACCCGATCCTATATCAACGGTTACCCTATAAATGGATACTTACTAATATACAGTGCGAATAAAGGTCAGAAAATAGTTGACTTGCAAGATGCGAGTCGGATCAGTTAAATGGTGCACGGGATGAATATCCGATCCGTGTCCACCTTTAATGAAACTTGGATGCTATTCTATTAATTGCCATGCACGTTGCTTGGGATTTTGACTTGACCTTTCTTATTCAATGCTTTGCTGAGGCCTACATTTGCTTCTGATCGACAGATCTTACTTGTTGGGGCCCTCAGTTGTGGAAAATGTCTCAGAGGGTTGTTGGAATGGGGAAATGGGGCAGGAATGGGGCAAGAAATCTGGAAAGCAAGAAATCTGGTGATCTTCCATGGAAAGCAAGAAATGTTTTGAGAGATGACAAAGTTTCGTATAGATATGATTGGAATAGAAGAGTATATAGCTGATGTAAAGGTGGACTTTGCCACTGTGTAAGCACCGCTTCTTTCTATCAATAAAAATGAACAAGTTTTGCTCAAAAAAAAAAAAGAAAAAAGAAAAGAAAAGAGCCAATCCATACAACCAAAGAGATGCAGAGATTATGAAGGTGCTCAATTACAAAATAGTAGGGAAACTAATAGCTGTTGTTGTAATTGCAACTTTACGTATCATCAGAACATCAGATTATGGCTAGAAAAGGGAAGCACAAAAAATGTAGATATCTCTGGTCAATAGTTAAAGATACTACAACAGTTTTTGGCAACTAAGTAGATGGTAATTTCAGAAACGAAGAGTCTGCGACAGAATAGCAGATTCACTACAATAATCAGTGAATTATTAGTACTACCACAAATCATGACTAAAACTGCAACAGATGATTGACAGTTTGAAGGCAACATATTTGCAACAAGAAATCAAGAAGCTTTGGCCAGCAGAAACAAAGGGAATGAAAAAGGCAGTGCCATGATGAAATTCAAGAAAGGATTATCCAAAGAAAAGGCAGTAATTAGGAGCCGTCAAAATATCTGTCTGAGCTTTAAGCCTACTGTCACTGCAAAACAGAAATACTAGCAAATCATAAGGCTAACTGGAAATTACATGACATTAATGTTTAGCTAGTATTCAGAAAGCTAATTCAGTATTTTGTTTTTGCTGTTCTTTTCTAACCTAAATTAGTAAGCAGATATCAAATCTTCCTGCTCAGTCTACAAGTACCAGTAGTGCCATAGACATTACACCAGTTTGTGTTTGAAATACTGAGAAAAGTGTTGTTCTATAACAATATAGTTATAATATGTGGCACGTACAAGAATGAAAGGCAGAGACAGTTCCAGAGTTGCCATGAATGCGAACTCTTTCAGACCTGCAAGATGCAAACGTCTTAAACATGACAATTTTTTAAGGTTTTAGTTAACTCATTGGATATTGAACTGGTTAAAACCCAACTATTAAGTAGTGGAAGAAGATTATTGGTACTGTAAATTATCAAACCACCAATTTCACAACCAAGGGCAGTGAGAGTTCCCTCAATTGTCCGTTCCGATTTATACCGAGGAGAATCGGTAGAATCCCATCATTCAAGAGACACGATAGAGAATGCCAATAACCAGGTAATTTGGAGCAAGATGACAATTACATATTCAAGAGGTGAAAGTTTAGAGCAAGCATTTCCACTTGCTCCCTTCAGCAATCATAGCGTACAACTGGAAGCAGCAGACAGCTGGTAAAAGTAAACTGCTAGTTTTTATTTAAAACAAAGAATTTTGTACCGTAGACGTAAATACAAAAAAGTTCTCAGCTTTGACATTGTGCTTGATTCTCCACATCAAAAAATCTGCTCTTGAATATCTGTATTCCATAATTGAATTTTATATATGGTTAGTGACAGTGTTTCCTTCCCTGAACAGCACTGAAGTTCAACAAAGCAGATTACTGAGCATTCAACAAACTAAAGTTTAACAGTTGCATCATTTCCCAAATTGCCAATTTGCTTCCATGATTCACAGCTTCAAAGATAGCACAATTAACGATTGAGATCTCGAATTGCAACCTACAATCAACTTGTAGATGCAAAACAATAACTCAACGGTCCTTACTGTTACTTTACTAGACAACATCCCTGGGAGCAAATGTTTTAAAAATTCAGATATTTTTGCAACTAAATCATCTTACCATACGATTTTTATCACCTCATGTCAGGTAGATTTGAAAAAATATTAGTAATGTTTTCACTGTAGTATGCTGTCCTGAAGAAACAAAAAACTACAAATAAAGTTAAAAAATCATTGTCCATCATTGCTTATTTATAATTTTCTGGGTTCCATCAAATTCTGTAGCCTTTCCCTGAGTAGACTAGCTCTACAAAGCCTTACTGCTTGGGAGACTGTCCCATATATGGGAATGGGTCCATAAGCAGGAAATAAGACTTGATACTGAACACATCTATTTATCCATTTTTTTTAAAAAAATTGTAAACCTGAGGGTACTTCCTAAAAATTTGTAAGCTTCTCATGGTCAATCTGTTTTGCCAATACAAGCTCTATGTGGTGGAACTCAGAAAATGAGCCATTAAGTCACAGCAAAATCCGCATATAACTGCAACCAAAACACCAGCTAGTTCTAATTTCTAACGACGAGCAGTATGCCAGAGATAGCTAATTCAGTTACAAGTAAATCAGCCCCTCATTATTGTGACTACAAATTGCTGAATCATTTGGACAGTTCAAGGTGGATTCACTAAGAGCAGCAAGTTGCAACAAGTAGACTTGACTAGCTTTTGAAAGGCTTCAAAACATCCTGCTTAAACTTGACCATGTTGGAAGATACTCCACCAAGTACCAAGTTTTGTGCAACTTCATTGCATGAACAGTACATCGTCCTCGGCTACCTCGGCAATATCTTCACAATGACAAGATTTCTTTTGTTTTACATGTAGCATATTAAAAATCAAAGCGATTAAAAGTCAAAATTGAGTAGTGAAAAAAGAGAAGCGTATCTTAAATTACCAGAAATTTGAACCAAAACACCAAAGCGATGATGCGAAAACCCCTTGATTGACCATTGTCTTCATGGCTAGAAAATCATAACCGAGAAAAAGTGAGTCAAAAAAACCATTATTTTGAGACCCAGAGCTATTACTAATCAAATGGTTCAGAGAAGTATCTAAATGCATTTTTGAGAGGTAAAAGTTACAGAGAAACCATTTCATCCGCTTAGAATCACAAGTTTAAAGAGAGTGGGCTGACTTTAGCAATAATATCTTACAATCCACAGAAGCAAATATGGAAAATCAACAAAACTAGACCCCTAGTTGTTATTATATGTCGATGGGCTATTTGTAGGACGTGCAGGCAAAAAATTATTGAGTTCCGGCAATATATACGGTGCTGAAGAAGCTTCACAATTCTAACGTATGTTCATCTGAGCAAGAGACCACAAAAATCATCTTGGGAAGCATTGAAGAAAGGAGTGCGGCAAGAATTGCTGGTCTAAAGGTGCACAATGGAATCCTCTCAAATTCCAGCTATTGCACTGCTAGACAACATCCTTGGAAGCAGATCCTCCTAAACTTTGCAACTTAATCGTTTTAGTTACCATCTATATCACCTCACAAAAGGTAACAAATAGAAATCTTCATAAAAGTTTCATTAGAGTAAGTTCTCCTATAGAAACAAAAGAAGCTATAAATTAAGAAGTCTAAAATCTTTGTTTGCGGTTGCTAGTTCACAATTTTTTTTGCTTTGACATACATTCATTTGAGGATTTACTCCATGAATATAACGCATTATCTTTTTCCTTTTTTTAAACAAATCAATAAGAAAATAAAATTTTCACAGTAAATGGTGGTGTGTATGCCTAAGTTTGATGAAAGCCCTCATATTTAAAATCTCGAGAAAGCTTGTTCCTGCATTATAACTATGAAAGAACAGGAAGTTCTATTACATTTTCTTGTGATGGGAATCTTACAAAAAGTGAGTTTCTTTTGCCACTTTTACCCTAAAGATAATGAGCAGGTACTAGGACTCGATACAATGTATGTATATTTTTTTGACTTACATATGCTAACCTTGCGATAACACTCGAAAGTTTGCAAAACCTCTTAATGGTCAATCTATTTCTCTAGTAATGGTCATCAAACTGCCAATAAAGATCATCAAAAAGTCCTGGTAATGATGGCTCTTCAAAAACATCTGATAAGCTGGGGCAAGAAATTTTTTCCCAGTAGATTGTACAGGCCAGCTGACAGTCATTAAGCAATCAAAACACAGACAGAAAACTTTCTGCAATTGAGGTACAACTAGTTTCAATGACAAAAAGCCAGGGAAAAAATTAAGCAAATTTATAGTAATATAGCAGGTAAATTCTTACTGCTGGACCTCGTGACTGAAAAGGCAGATAGACAATGTGCAAGCTCCGACAACAAGGATATCAAGTGTTGGCTATATAAGGCACCGATACGAAAGAAAAATTGCCATCATAAATATTTTTGTCCAAGCTACTGGCCTTGCAATTCAATGAGTAATTAATGGCCAATGGATATATCCACTTAAACCTTGAGCCTAAGATCACTGCAAAATAGAAAATTCAAGCTCAGACATTATGTAGTAAACAAGAGATCTAACAAAACAATTTAGATAATTTCGTGAAGCTATTGTTCTGTCAATCCTACAAAAACAAAGTGTGGAACAGAATATTAACAGAGTTATAGTAATACATCAAAGCACAGAACAGGATAGGTGCTTGGTTTCATGTTAATCGACGGTTACAAGAGTATTATGTTGTTAGGAGTAAATGAGAAGCACGGTATTTTGAACTTGACAAGAAATGCTAATGCCGCAGCTTTGAAAGATAATAAATAGGATGAGAAAAAGGAAGAAGAGAAAATTGTGAAGAATAACCACGGGAACTTTTTAGCTTTTTTCATATAATTCCCCCACTCTTAAATCATTGCTTGTCCTCGAGTAATAAGAAATACAAACCAGCAATAATTTAAGAAGTGAAATGAATCAAGTGAACTTGAAACTCAATCTCTCTTAACTTTGGCAAGCTTTGATTATGCAATTTTTTTCCTATTACCTGTAATACTCATCATATCATGTAAAAGAGAGATAATTACACCCAAAATTCAACCAAACAAATTTAATCTCTCTATCTTACCTAATTTCACAAATAACTAACATATATAGTTACCTTGGAGATTTTCTTCCTTCTAAATGAGATGTTTAGCTTCACAAACTTAAGAGGGAACTATTCACTTTCTTTTTTCTTTTATTTACTCTTAAAATTGTGAAAATGCCTTTTGATGTGAAGATTGACATTTTTAGATAAAAATCTCCAGTTACTCAACACTTCACTTATTACTCCCAATTCCAATATCTTTGGATGCAAAAGTTGATATATGTAGATGAAAACTCTGGGTTACTCAGTACAAGAATTTATTGAATTTTTTTTAACATAAAATTCCTCAATAAGGTCACATTTGGAAGAAAAATATTCTAGCAACTATATAAATCAATTACTTTAAAAATAAGTAAGATGAGAGATTTTATTTACTATGCAAAATGTAGGCATAATTTTCTCTATTTTACAAGATATACTTTCTCACATGCAATAATTCTAGTCATATGATAATTGCTTCCAAATCAAGTGAGAATTGAATTGTCCAATTACTAAAATCATCTCACTTGTATAGGAGAATTTTGAAACAAAAGGGACATGAACTTCATCCACTTGTGGATTCAAATGAACAATTTATGAAAGACTTGGGGCAAATTTTGAAATTTGGACAAGATTTTGAAAAAATTTTGATAGAGTTTCCCTTTAAAACTGGATGAAACTTTCTGTCAGCAAACCCAAAAAAACAACAATTTTAAGCACAAGGCAAATTTCTAATATCATATCCAAGCATTTACCATATAAGCACCAAAGTAACTCCTACTTAACAGCATTTCCTCCCCACACTTAACATACACATTTTCCTCAATGTGTAGGGAAAGCAAAGAAAAAAAAGTAAAAACAAGTTACTCCCCAATTCAATGGCTGAGATCCAGCTCAATCTTGAATCACGAGCCATCGACGAATCTACAACCATCTATGAAAACTGCCACAAGTCCCAAATGCAAGATGAGAAGTTCAAGTTAAACTTGTACAATAAAAAGAGTTAAAATAAAACTACAAGGAAATATGAAAGCAAAAAAAATGCAACAAGAGGTCGGCGAGTCTTCTCCTTGCGCATCACATCACTGTGGAAAAGTGCTAAATGATTCTTTCATATATAGTGCTAAATACACATCACGTCTTCTCCTTGCGGTGTTTCTTGTCCCTCCTTTTCTCTTCTTTCTCTCTTTAGTGATTCTTAAATATATAGTGTTCAAGAGAGTCAAAAAATGGTAACTAATATGACATAAAGTTTCTTTTGCACTTTTCTAGAGTTTCTTGAGCATGTGTAGCCTAAATTCTGTGCTAGAATTGAGCAGAAAAGAAGTGTGAAAATAGGGCAAGTTGCAAAACAAGTTACAAAAAAATAGGGGAGAATAAGCAGGCTTGGAATACGTGACCTCAACTCGTGTATTCAAAGCCTGTGTTTTCTCTTTTGTTACGTTTTCTTGTGTCTTTCTATCCAATTCACTAAGATCATAAGCAAGATGTCCCAATGTTTGTTCATGCAATGAACCAATAATACTTGCATTTGATGCTCTTCTAATTCCAAATCATCATTGAATCAGGCACTAATGAATTCAAATGAATTCGCCTCGATCCAATATTGATAATTCTCCTCAAATCCTACCAATATAACCACATTTGCACATTCAACTTCCTAAATGAATCTTGCAAAAGTTAGAGACTTAGAGAGCAAGTTACACCGTAAAAACAATAAATTATACCAAACAATAAGCACATAATACTACTTAAAAGAATGTATAATACACTTATCAAGAAGGTTGATTAGAGTGGGAAGTGAAGAGAAGGCAAAGATGTCTTATGCGTAGGTAGCAAGCAATCTTACATGATTGAATTTGATCTGAAGATGAACTGTTAATCGCTTATTAATAGGAGTTGAATATGAGAAATTTTGGACCACTGGGAGTCGAGGCTGCTGCTCTCAGGAGTGCACCTTTCTTTTAACAGAGGAGAACCATAAACTAGTAGAACTTTTAGTTTGGTGAGACTTCTCATGGCATCCTCAGAGGGTAAATGTCGAAGCTCTTTGAAACCAAATAAACATAGGTATTCAAGAGCAGCAAAGTTTCTGAACCAATCTGGCAGAGCTTTTATACCTCCAAAGTCATGTAGCCGAAGTGACGTGAGAGTGGTCAAGTATTGGATTTGATGTGGTAGGGACTCCATGTGTAGCAAACCAAATAATTCTAGGTCACATAGTATGGATGACAAAGAGGAGAAGGATATCAATCCAGACCAATCAAATTCATTGTAAATTGAAGAATTTTCGTGGTCATCATCATCTGAGAAGGGACCAATTTCAAGACGATTTAAGCTGGTTAGGAAACCAAATCCTTTGGGCGTCATACTTGTTTTCAGTTTGGGACACGCGTATAATTCTAACTCCAAAAGAGAAGGCGTTTGTTGCAAATCAAGCGGAAAGGAGATAAGCTTGTCGCAATAAGCCACCTGAAGCTTTTGGAGAGAGATACAAGACTGTAGCATGTCACTGGGTAGATTCGTTAATCCACGGCAAAACCAAATCACCAGCTCTTTAAGAGACGTAAAGTTTTGCAAAGGAATGAGTTCTCTGCATCTGTGGCAATAATAAAACTCCAAACGCACTAACTTGGGAAGTGTTATTGGCAAATCCATTGACCATCGAGGAAATTGATCACCCATAAAACGCTGAATTACCAACTCCTCCAAATTTGGATGAGGCCTAAGGCCATCTAACACATCTTTGTCGTAGTTGTAGTTGTCACCTTCTCGATCCCAAGCCAAGGCCCACACAAGTACCAGCCTAAATAGATTTGCCTTTCCAAATAGATTTGCTTCCTCAGCTGCTTTCCTATCCTTTACTAGTTGAAGATTGCGTACACTTAAACTGCCTTTGAGGTTTTTCAAGCATCCAAGCTCTTCAATTTGTCGACCCTTTTCTCGACCCACATTAAAGAACTCTAGTGTCTGAAGGCAAGATAGTCGTCCCATCTCTAGTGGCATTTGAAATTTTTCATCAAAGGTGTAAAAGTAGAGATGTCTCAAGCTAATCAAATTGCACATCCCCTTCGGAAGATCTTTGACATACATGCCATCTAGTGCCAATGTCTGCAAATTATAAAGCTTGCAAAGGGAGTCTGGCAAAATACGAATTCTAGAACTAGAAAGGTTAACATATCGCAAATGTGTCAATTTGCCAATAGTGATCGGTAGCTCTTGAGTCGTTGCATGAGACAAATTCAAAACATACAAGTTCTTCAACTTCATTAACATATCACCAGATAGGTCACCCTTTACAAACAATGTACGAAGCGAAGTTGATAGCCTCTCCAAAAGTTTTTCTCTGTCTTCTCTGCCACCAGATAAATCTACTGCAAGGTAACGAATATTGTTAATAACTTTAGTAGACTTTGACATTGACTCTGCGAGGTCGTGCACTAGATCATGCATCTTATAATAATGTGTTTCCTGATAACTTTTGGTTTCTTCAAACAACGAACTCTGTAATAAAATTCTCAGACAATTCATTCCAATTTCCTCCATCATTATTTGGTTGTTGACATCTGCTTGGAGCAAACCTTCTGCCATCCAAAGTTCGATTAGCATATCTCCTTTCATCATAGTATCCTTAGGAAATATAGAACAATATGCAAAACATTTCTTAATGGATGGAGATGGTAAACAATCAAAACTCAATTTAAGTATTTCCATGACACCATCTTCATCTCCACTGAAATTTGAAAGCTTATTCTTCAAAACCAATTGCCACTCCTCTTTTCTCTTCATACGCAATAAACCTCCCATTACACTTGCAGCCAGTGGTAGACCACCACATTTTTTTACAATTTCCTTTTTCATGACATGCAATTGTTTGGGAATTTCTCCACCTGCAATGGCTTTCTTTGTTAGGATAGACCAACAATCATCATCAGATAGCTTTCCTAGCACATAAGGATCATGTGTGGCCACAATGGATGCAGTTTGTTGTTTACGAGTAGTCACAACACACCAATTTCCATTAGTTGCATTTAGTCCCAGTAATGAACCAAAAAAATCATCCCACAAGGTAAGATTTTCGGTCCAGACATCATCAAGAACAAGAAAAATTTTTTTTCCCACAAGTTGTTCTCGAATTTCCTGGACGATGACATCCCTACTGGTCATTTCAACATTTCTTCTCGTGAGTGATTCTAAAATCATTTTCAAAAGCCTGGTCACGTCAAAGTTGTCGGACACACAAACCCAAATTTTTTTCTCAAAATGGCTATGAACGTGACTATTTTTGTATACAGATTGAGCTAAAGTAGTCTTTCCCAATCCGCCCATCCCAAGGATGGGAATTACAGAAACGGCTTTTTCTGACAAGCTTAGCAAGGTCTCCACCAGCCTTGTTTCATCCTTAGCTCTTCCTACAATATAATGGCCAGCAATAGAATCCGTCTCTCTATTTAGTGTGACTTTAGCAGTAGTAGAAGGGGGGAAACTTGCTCTTTGGAATCTGATCAGTCCAAAATCATTGGCTTCTTTATTGATCTTATACAACTTCTTGTTGATGTCCCTGATCTTAGAGGCCATTCTCCGTCGGAAAACAATATTAATGTCAGAGGAGAGGATGAAGGAGCGCACCTTGCCCACAAGTTGGCGACGAAGAGCTTCATAATTCAGCTCGTCCAACAAATTCTCGGCATCAAACACCACGGCTTCTAGCCTCTGGAGCCACAGTTGCACGGCCTGGTCATGCGTTTGCTTTTCCTCAGCATCAGCCAAGACAGCTTGGATCATGGCAACAGATCCTTTCAGGGTCTCCAAATCCTCCTTGAATTGGAATAAGTTGCCAATCCTTTCATTGGCAAGGGAAAGTGTCTTCTCCAATGCTACCTCTATTGTGGCAGCTATAAGTGCATCAGCCATTCTTCTTGTTCCTTGGGTACAGTCTTCAGATAAGAATACTCTTTTGCAGTGGAAGGTTTTAGCTGTAGTTAGAAGCAGCAAGGAACTGCTTTGATTCAAATGGAAGTGACGAGTTATGAGGATTTTTTGGTGCAGCGCTTCTTTGACAAACTGGGTGAGATGCTTTTGCAACGGAAGTTGCTTGGCATTTTCAGTTGAAAATAAAATATTGTCATTGCCGGGATTCTACGTCTACTTTTGATCCACATTCCACATGCCTGGGGCCCCCAAGAAGGATAAGAAACTGTGCTGAACAATGAAAGGTCCAAAATAATTTTTAGATAATTCAAATTAAGCGATTACATATAATTCAAATTAATGTTGCGCATGTATAGTAGTCACAAAATGGTTTGGTGCATTAGCAAACAGAAGGGTACATCTAAGGTTACTACGACAAGTTTTACGTTAAAGTGGGAGATTTGTAAACCACTTCAGAGCAAACAAACGGTGTTGAGGAAAAAATTATGTTAGTTGCAATGCAATCATAAAAGCTATGATACATTTGTGAAAGCAAGAAACATTTATTAATTTGGTGCAGTCTAATTGGAAACCTAGAAAAAAATAAATGAATGATCCGAAAGGGTGAAAGGTATCATTTTACTCAAATAAAAGTGTGACCGAATAGGGGATTAGTTAAATAAAAAAAATTAGATTAATAATGTAACACTTTTTGTATTTTTATATAATGCATGTGAGACAGGATGGTGGCTGGAAAAATAAAAAAATAGTGAGTGGAATAAGTAAAAACTGTTTTTTCATATATTTATCTAATGATAATAGTGACAGGGTAAAAAAACAAAGGTGATAACAATGATAAGTGTGGTGAGTTGAGATGGATAACGCACAATTACTTCTTGCAATTGATTGCACCATGGAATCTATATTTTACATTGGGTAAATTTGAAATCGGATGAATAGAATTGATTAGCACAAAAAACTTTTAATGAATAAAACATTTATTGTGCTTTTGTGTATTGTTATTTTTTTCTACATTTAATATCTTAGTGTATAGGTCTATTGTGTCGGTACCTGAATTTAAAATTCCTCCTTTCAATTTTAAATACTACTACTTATCTTACTTATAAACTTCCATACCTACAGTTGGACTTTTGATGCAAAAAGAAGGGGAAAATGGCAATCATAATTGCTACTCAGGCAACCTTTTTTTTTTAATCTAATTTGGTAATTCTTGGGACATAAGGATAGAATTGACTTCATCTAGATTAATAATTCGTTGACAAACTTGGATGCTATTAATTGCCAATCTGCCATAGAAGATGCTTGGCAATTTCGCTACGTGGCCTTTCTTAATCAGTGCATGATGCTTACATCTTGGACAAACTTGGATGCAATCTCAAGTGGTAATTAGAATGGTGGTTTGACCCAAGAATAACAAATAGCTATGTTCAACCGCCAAAATGTAGAAGCGAAGTGGGATATTGAGCCGAGACGGTCATCAGGCGGACTGTCTCTGAGTACTCCTCTCACAAAAGGAATTGAAAGGACTGCAATAGACCACATATAATGGGAACAGTAGCGAAGGAAAACGATACTGTTTTACTAAGTGAGTAGGGAAAAAGATTTTTTTTTTAAAAAAAAATATGAGGGGCTAACGGACTCCTTTAAAAAACCTCAGCTTCCGTAACAAAAATTTCCGCTCAAATTAATGAGCCACGACTATTCTTATCAAATCTTCAAATGAAATAAACTTTTGATCTCCCTCCAAAACTTATCTTTTGAACATTCCTTCACAATTTCAGAGTATCAATAGAATAATATCCTTGCCCCAAATTGGGAAGTTTCAGATGAGATTCTATTTATAAGTATTGTACATTTAGTTAGTATTTAAGTAGTATTTGTTGTTAATTTTTCAATGTTAGCTTGATCTGTTTTACAATATATCCAAAACAATAACTTCTATTCTATCGATTGGTTAAAAAAAATTTACAATCTATTGCTAATTAGTAACATACCGATGTTGTACCCCGTGTTGGTATTTATTGACTTTCCATTGCTAATGTCTTACAAACTATTTAGTCCATTTTATGATATGTTTAAGGAAATAAAGATTTTTGTTTCACAAATTGGTGAAAACTAATGACATTTGGTTACTTATGAGTTCATGTTGATTGAACAGAAATTTAACTAGTCATTTACCACTATTATGAAAGTAGTGGCTTTAGGTAAGATTTTAGTTGTCAATATATTACAATCTCAAAAAGTAGAGAAGTTACCCATCAACACATTTGTAACACCCAATCATAGTGTGACTCGTTTCCATTTTTATCAAATCCCAGACTAAAAGTCTTAGAAAAGTTGTTGGGATGTCAATTTTGGCATACTTCTATCATTTAATTGCTCATTGAACAAATAGCTTTGGGTTGGTTGAGATGTCAATTTTACATACTTCTATCATTTAATTGCTTTTCGAATAAATATTCTTGGGTTTATTAGATATGATGCATATAAAAATAACATATACATAAAGAGGGATGATGTGTGACTTAAAATGAAGAATGGATTTCTCAAAAAAAAAAAAATGAAGAATGGAGCAGTTTGTTAAGTTTATAAATATAGCAAAGTGCCTCTTTGTTAGATAATTTTATTACTTATAAATATTTCTAAAAATGAACAAAAAAATTAGTCAAATGTACACAATCATAGTTGGTGATGTTGGCAACATCAATCATGTCATCTCTTAATCCACAAATAAATTTGAAAAGAATAATAAATTGGTCTTACTAACTATCCTTGAGAATTAGACTTATTTTAGGAGTTTAGGATAGACAAGAAAGGAAGGGAAAACTTAAGTTATGAGAGAAGAGAAGAGAAGAGAAGGGATTGTTATGTTGTTTGAGAGTTTTAAAAATTAGTGGCATGATTTTGGATATGGAAGTTATTAAATATTTGTTCAAGACCTATTTAAGGACAAAATAGGCATTTTGAAAAAAATTGACAAGTTTTCTCAAAGTTTCCTTCCATTTCTATCTAATTTAGGAGTAAAAGTTTTGGCTATTGTTGCAGTGCATTTCATCCTTTTGAATCTTCCCATTTCTTTCTTTTACTTCTTGCTAAAAACTAAAGGAAAGCTAACTCTCTCTTCTTTTCCTTTCATTCCTATCCAAAATCCCAACTCCCAAACGAAGCCTTAGACTAACAGCATAACCAATATTTCATTTGTAACTTAGAAGCAAAATTGATTTTGTTTTCCTCAACTGGCACAAAGAGGAAGACCTGCAAAGGCTAGAAGAGCAAAGAGGAGAGTGACACCTGCTAGACAATTTATCATTGCACAGACTAACAATGCAATTTCTGAATCTTTTGGAAATGTTACTACCACTGGTGATGAAAGAAATCGGTTTTGAGCATATAGAGTCAAATTGGTACAAGTATATTTCTTTGCAAATACCTTTTTTATTTTTTAAATTTATATTTTTATGGGTTATTGCATTATGATGTAGTTACTGCTAGAAATTTTTTTTTATGTAATGGTTTTTTTTAAGCAAATAAAGCTGTTTAGGAATATTTTTATTTAGCAAGTAAAAGGGTAATTTAGAATTTTTAAAAATTTTGTTACACAAATAACAAAGTAAGGTAGGTAAATTATATTTTTAAAACTTTAAAGGTATTAGGTGATATTAAGAGAAACATCAGGGAAGGCTTTGACATCATCCCATATCTCAATGGTTGTTGCATCGACGAAGGACAACCATTTACGTCCAAGATAAAATTGAATTCAGAATTCCCTACTTAGAATTCATCCCATCTTAGCATCCAATCCAATCTTCCGCCAACGTGAATCATAATTTGGTCTTAATTACTGATCCTCAAGAATTAAAATTAGAACATGCATATTATTTTGTTTGGTTTCCTCAAGTGCTAGCAGCAAGTGCCCTCAGGGGCTTGGTCTGGTGGTTGAGGTTGCTGAAGATGGAGCCTCAGGTCCCTGGTTCGAACCTTGCTGCCAGCAAGTTGCTGAGGGTGGTGAATAGTCTGCGGGGTCCACTCCCTGCGGGACACACCTAAAAAAAAAAAAAAAAAAAGTGCTAGCAGCAAGAATTTTTATAGGATCAGCTAATGGTTAGTTTTTTATTAATACAAACATTCTAAATAAGCTTGTGAAATCAATTGATTTCATATGCAATCCAAATAAGATTATGAACTCCTTATTTGTTTGATTAATTTCATATACTAACGACTGTACTTGCCAAATAATTGATGGTGACCGTAATAAAATTTCTTTGCTAGGGGTCAAAGTTCTTCCTTTCCGCACTGACCATGTTGCATGCTGCTTCTTGGCTTAAATAATCCGGCTTTGTGACTTCCAATTTCATATTCATTAACACACAAACACAGAAACTCTCCCTAATTATTAATGAGTGAGAAATTTCACTTGTAGATAATATAGTCCACGTTCTGCCCATCTGAAACTCCCCATATTATTTCTAGGTTCCAAACAATTTTTTTTTTTTTTTTGTTTTCGAAAGAAAAAGTTTGAGTGATTTCAACTCTGGTTATCACCAGGGTTGAAACATGATAGACTTCTGTATTTATTTATTTTTTTACAAAAAGAAAATACGACTAAGAATTAGGCTAACTGACAAGAAAAAAGCACAGTTGATTGATTTAATTCTAGCCCAGGGCCTGGTTAACCAAGAAAAGTACATAGCGGTTGAATGTTCACCCAATAAAATGAACACTTGAGAATCTGAAAGGAGAAGCAATGATTCTTTTTCTTAAACCTGAATCAATTTGCTATGCTTAGACATGCTTTAACATAAAGCTTCATTTCTTTTAGGATAAATTAACTTTTACCTTCTTATGGTTTGTTGATTTATCACATAACCTCTCTATGGTTTAAAATTTTATAATGATATTTGTAGTCGAAAAAGATTTTATTTTTTGTTTTTTGTATTTAATTGTTTTATATTTCCTTTCTATCTTTTTTGTTTCTTATTTATTTATCTTTTATTTCCCTTCCATCTCTTTTGGATTTAGAGAAAATTAAGATTTTGTCGGCCAGAGTATAGATTTTCAGAATCATCTCTTCTTTTCCCCAAAAAAAATGTGAGAAAGAAAAGGAAAAAAGTAGTCAAATGGTGAATTTGTTAGTTTATTAGTTTGATTTTGACATTTTATTAGTAATCATTAGTTTTAACCAAAAAACTAACCATGACACATTAACCTAAACTATGATGGTTTTTTAAACCATAGGAAGATTATATTGTAAGGCATCAAATCACAAGAGAGAAAAGGTAATTTACCCTTTCTTTTATACGAACTCATAGTTTGTTTGGACAACAAGAATTTGGCCAAAAAATTTCAGATTTTGTTTTGCTTGCATCATACACACAATTCCCAATCACCTTTTTATCTCACATACATCACATCACAAAAAGTGCTACAGTAACTGGATCAAATAAATCATCTAAATGAATTCTTATCCAAACAAACTCATTGTCTTCCTTTTTTTGGCAAATCAACAATAAAACCAAACTTTTTCTCCAAGAGGCCTCAAGACATTGGCAATTGTAGGTAGCACGCGCAAAAGCAATAGAACATTCAATTCCAGCCATACATGTACATGGCGGCAAGAGTTGCTGACCTAAGAACAATGAATGTACTCCTGGCTACATGCAATGTCCTGAATCGAAAAATGATGGACGAAACTGGACTGCAAGAATCAGATAAGATGATTGCTGATTTCTTGCAAAATGGCGACCCAAGAAAATCTTGTACATTTGGCTATTTGATTTCTTGCAAAAGCTCAATCAATATTTGTTTTCGTTGTTCTTACTGACCTAAATCAGTAAGCAGGCATCAAATCTTTCTGCTCAGTCTACAAGTACCAGAAATGCCATAGAAACTATATTAGCTTTTGTTCAAAACACTGAAAAAAAGAGAAAGTGCTATAACAATAACGATAATGAGTGGCACCCACAAGCATGAGAGGCAGAGAGCTCTAGAATTGCCATGAAGGCCAACTCTTTTGAGACAGCAAGATGCAACAAGTAGAGCTAATTACAACTATTTGACTCTTAAAATCTCAAATCATCGCACTTGAACATAAACTTCAGTAGAATGTGATTAGGGCAAATTATATTTTACCCCCATGTGGTTTACCCTTTTTTCTACATAACCCCTCAATTGTTTCAAAAGCTATACATAACCCCCTCATAGTTTGCATTAAAGTGTCAAAGTGACGAAAATAGTCACTCGTAACAGAATTTCTAAAAATGTTAAAATTACCCTTATAAATACATGACACATTAACCCCGTATGATTTTTATATTTTATCATATAACCCCTTATGGTTTAATACTTTACCATATAACCCCCTTATGATTTTCAAAGTATACACATAACCCCCCTTGGTTAATACATAATTTTCAACTTTACATAATGGTAATTTTGATATTTTAGGTGACGCCGTTATGAATGATCATTCCCGTCACTTTAATACTTTAATTCAAACCATAAAAGGGTTATGTATAGCTTTTGAAATCATAAGGGGGTTATGTAAAAAAACGTTAAATCACATGGGGATAAAGTGGAATTTGCCCATGAGATTATTGGTATTATAAATTATCAGACTACCAATCTCACAACCAAGGGCAGTGAGAGTTCCTCGATTGACCATTGGGTTTAAGTCGAGATCATAGCTGAAGAGAGTCAACAGAGTCCCATCATGTAAGAGACATAATAAGAAAGCCAATAATCAGATAATTTGGAGCAAGATGATGAATACATTTCCAAGGGGTGGAAGTTCAGAGTAAGCATTTCCATCCCAATAGAATCTCAAATTTAAAGAGGTTTAGCTACCTTCAGCAATCATGATGTACAACTAGAAGTAGCAAACATATGAGATGAGCAAAAGCAAAGAATTTTGTACTGTATATGTAAATACAAAAAGTTTTCAGCTTTGACATTGTGCTTGACTGTCCACATCAATAATCTGCTCTTGAATATCCGTATTCCATAATCGAATTTAACATATGGTTAGTGATATTGTTTTCTTCCCTGAACAGCACTTGTAAGTTTTTAGAAAATGTTATCATTGGTTATTACACTGGAGTATGTTGTCCAGAAGAAACAAAAACTAGAAATTAACTCTTAAAGTCTTTGTCCATCATTGCTTATTCATAATTTTCTGTGCTCCATCAAACTTTGATTTAACAATCTATTTCATGAATGTAGACACATTACCATTCTTTTCTAGCAAATTGATAAGCAAATGAACTTTTAGCGTACTTAGTTGGATAAGGAGCTTCTAGATTCAAAATCTAAGGCAGGCACGTTTGCCAGCATTGCAATAAAGATAGAAGAGCAATTTCCATGTCTTTTTGTTGCCTTTGTTCGAAAAGTAATAAGCAGGATAGAAGACTTGATACTAAGTACAGCTACTTATCCATTTACAACAAAATCAATAACCTGATGCTATTTCTAGAAAATTTGCAAGCTTCTCACGATCAATATGTTTCTCTATCACCAACCAAACCTCTCAGGATGATCACCAGAAATTCACGTTAATGATGTCCTTGATCTTGAGAGACTTTACATAAGTTGGGGAAAGAAATTTTAGCGAGCAGTTCATAGAGGCCAGCTTATCAGGTTTTAGACACTAGGAAGAAAGAAAAGTGTGCCTGTAGTGTGCCATCATAATCATTTCTGTCCAATTGAAACAGGATCTGATTCAACAAAGTTTTCAAAAGTTACAAGATGTGTAATTCAATCAGTAGTAAGAGCAATTGTAGATTCCAGTTGACATTTGAGCCTGATATCATTGTAGAACAAAAGACTAGAACTGGGACAATATGTGGTCAACAAGAAAGCCAATAAGAAAGTTCAGATAATGCACCAATACTTTGGTTCTGTCAATCTCACAAAATGCTAAAATGTGTGTCTTGTTTGTTATGAAACTAAATGGATAAACAGTTATTTCTATGGCAATTACATTAGTTTGGTTCCAACTGCAATGCAGGTAATTACAACTCATAAACTTGAAAATAATGATAGGCACTTTTTGTAGCACATGCAAAGCATCTCATATTGAGGCATTGAGGCACAATAGAGATCTAACATCTAACTACAAGCAGCATCTCATTATAGCTGAATCATTTGGACAGTTTAAAAGCATCGATGAGGTTCCCTGTTGAGCTTTGGGCCTAAAATCACTGCAAAGCACAAAAACTCAAACTCAAGATGGCATATAACATAGAATACGGCTAATGGAAATTTTCAATAATTGCAGGTTTTCAGTCATTGTAATCAAAGCCCCAAAAGAAGAAACTTACCATAAAAATCCTAGCAACCAACCATCATAAAAACAGAGAGAGCTTGAGAGCCTTTTTTTTTTTTTATCAAGGTGGATTCACTAAGAGCAGCAAGTGGCAACAAGCACGATTGACTAACAACCGGAATGCTCCAAAACATTGCGCTTAGACTTGAGCGTTGGAAGATACTCCACCAAGTTTTGTGCAACTTCATTGCTTGAACAGTACATCATCCTTGGCTACCTCAAAAATATCTTCAGGATGACAAGATTTCTTTTGTTTTGTGCATAATATATTAGATATCAAAGTGGTTAAAAGTCACAATCGTGCAGTGTAAGAAGAGAAGCATATCTAAAATTACCAGAATTTTTGAACCAAAACATGAAAGTGATGACCAACAGCTGCGAATACTCCTTGATTGACCATAGTCTTCGTGGCTAGAAAAACAAAACCAAGGAAAAGTGACTCAGAAAACCATCATATATGACTCTGATAGAGCAGTTACTAATCAAATGGTTCAGATAAGCATGTAAGCGCATTATCAAGAGCTAAAAGTTCAGAGAAACCATTCATTCCCTTAGAATCACTAGTTCAAATAGAGTGAGCTGACTTTAGCAACAATAACTTACAATCCACAGAAGCAGACATGTAAAATCAACAAAACTAGACTGCTGGTTGTTTTAAACGTTGATGCGCTATTCGTAGGAAATGCAGGCCAAAAGTTATTGAGTTCCAGCCATATAGATTGTGCTGAAGAAGCTTCAAAACTCTAACCTCTGTTTGTCTAAGCAAGAGACCACAAAAATCAGCTTGGAAAGTATTGAAGACAGGAGTGTGGTCAGAATTGCTAATTTAAAGACAGAGAAAAAGTTCCACGAATTTTCTGCATACGCTATGGAATATAAAACGCAATTGCATTTTCCACAGGTGAAAGTTCAGAGAACTCATTTCATCCTGATGCAAATCACGAGTTTTAAGAGAGAGCTAATCTTAGAAATCATAATGTACAACAGATTGGCTGACATGCATGATAAACAAAGTAAAGTCAAATCTTAATTTCTTTTATATTGTTACTTCATTAGTTGTTTTGTTTCACTTCTCTTTTATGCAAAACTTGCTTTGGTTATCCAAGAAATCTTGTGCATTTGGTTATTAACTACGGAAACAAGATATTAACTCAAGCTTCCATTGAAGACATGTAACTGTCGCCTATCGATGGTAATGTTTATGAAGTACCTATGACTTTCAATCACGATACTGAAACCTAAGAAAGACACCAAACAAAATTGAAAAGAACTACTTCATGCAATTCTTCATTTTTGGTTAAGCGACTACTAACATAAGATGTAGTACTCAACATCATATAGACCAGGTAATATTGGAATAACAACTAATCTTAAAGTAACAGAATCATTCTAGACATGCCATTTTTAACTGCAGAATGAGAACATGAAAACTCAGAAAATCATGTTGCATGTAATGGTGCAAAGATACAGCTTCAAGAAAGGTGGCGAGCTACTTGTGGAGGATAATAAGCAGTCACAAGACAGACCAATATTTTTCTGCAACTAAGTTGCAGCTAACTTGAGAGACAAGCAGTCTGAGACAGAAAAACAAATTGAGGTCCATAACCAGTGAATTACTACCTCATGTCATGAGCACAAAAGCTACAGCTGATTTACAGTTTGAATCACCACATTCACAATGTGGATCTCAAGCTTTGGCATTGTTTTCTAACATAAACTGGTACACAGAGGTGAAATCTTTCTGCTCAGTCTGCAGATAAAAGCTGCGTCACCAGAACTATCCTAGTTTGTGTCCGAAACTCTGAAAGATGACCAGTTGAGTAATTTAGAAAAAGAGATGTGGCAGCCAACAAGTATGACAGGCAGAGAAAGCTAAAGAATCTTCATGAAGTGAATTCCTAGAGCAGCAACCAATTATTACCATTTGATGCTTCAAAGTTCAAATCATCACAGTTAGACTTAAACTTCAGTAAAGGATAATCTACCAAATCTTTGCAGCTTCATTGCAAGAACAATACTATTTTCCCTTGCAACCTCAAAAAATGACTTGAACATGTCCTTTTTTTTGAAAGAGGGGAGGGGGCGAGGGGTTAGTTAACAAATTGAGAATCAAACTGCTTAAAACTCAATATTACATAGTTGAAGAAAGTTTATCATGGATTAGGAGCATTTCTTAAAAAAAAAAAAAAAATTGGTATTGTAGATTACCAGTCCATTTGGCATGATGATAAGAATAAGATAATAACATTTTCTAGAGGTGAAAGTTCAGAGTAACCATTTTTTCCTCATAGAATCTCAGGTTTAGGAATCAATGTACAGCTCGCAGTAGCAGACATATGTGATGAGCAAATATAAACTGCTACTCTTTATTGAAAGATAGCGCAGGCATAAATCTGAGGGCAAATGGTCTTTAACTATCATATTATGTTTGACTGTCCGCACCAAACAATTTGTTTGTAAATATCTGCATTCTATGATTGAGGAAGGAAAGGATGGAAGTGAAGTGGGACTATTTGCCAGAAGCAAAATACAAAATGCTTATCAAATGGATCTTTACATTTGGACAAGGCACCTAAACCACAATTATACCAAAAAGGATAGATTGGATGATGAGGTCAGTCTCTCAAGGAGTGCTGTGTGTGAGCCGTGATGCGTATTCTGTGTGTGTGAGTGTGCAGTTTGTGTGTCGAGATGCTATAGTAAGTGATAGTGTTTACTTTGATGACTGCAGTTGAACCTTTTCAGACCGCCTAAGACAAGAGAAGTTCATCAAAGCAGACCTCTGCCTTCAACAAAGTGGAGTTGAGCAGTTACATCATTTCCAAGACTGGCAATTTACTTCCATGATTAAAATAGCTTACAAGATAATACAATCAACAATTGAGATCTCTAATTCCAATCTATTATCAATTTGAACGTGCACAGCAGAATCCTCTCAAATCCTTGCTATTACATGGCCAAACAACATTCCTGGAAGCAGACCCTCGAAAACTTTCAAACTCTTGTTACTAATCATTTTAGTCACAATACATATATCACCTCACCTCAGGCAATAAATAAAAATCTTCTTAAGAGTTTCACTGGAGTATGTTCTCCTACAGAAAAAAAAAAAGGAGAAAAAATCCTATAAGTTAAATAGTTTGAAATCTTTCTGTGTTAGAAAATCCACAAATTTCTGTGCTGGGACGTACTTTCATTTGACACTTTATTCCATGAATGCAAAACATTATTTTCTTCTAGCAAATCAATAAGTAAATAAAACTTTTCACACTAAATGGTGGCATGTGTACCTGAGTTGGATGAACTCAGATTTAAAAATCTGAAGAAAGCATGCTGCCTGCATTATAAATAAGATAGAACAAAAAGTTCCATTACGTTTTCGAGTTGGAAACCTTATGGAAAGTAAGAGTTTCTTTTTGTTAGTTTTCTCCCTAAAATTAATGAGCAGGCAATAAGACTTGATACTATGTACAAATATTTATTTGGTTAAAATAAATGTGCTAACCTGAGTGTTATTCTTGAAAGTTGGCAAAACCTCTGATTGTTAACGTGTAACTCTAGTACGACCCAATAAGATGCCAATAATGATCATCAGAAGGTCATGGTAATGATGGTTTCATAAAAGACTTCAGATAAGTTGGGGCAAGAAATTTTTGGCCACCAGCTCGTACAGGCCAGTTACAGTCATTGAGCAATCAAAATCCAGACCTACAACTTGTGCAATTTAGTGTCAGTTAGTTTCAAAGACAAGAAGCCTGGAAAAAATAAGCAAATGCATAGTATTATAGCATGTCAGTTCGTACTACTGCACCTCATGACTAAAAAGGCACATTGAAAGTGTGCAAGCTCCCAAGATCAGTACATCAGGTTTTGGCTATCTGAGGCACCAAAGTGAAAGAAAAGAGTGCCAACAAAAACATTTCAGTCCAACTGAAACAGGATCTGGTTCAACATGATTCTCAAATATGCGGGCTCTGTAATTAGTAATTACCAGCCATTATAGATTTCCAGTTGAGCTTTGAGCCTAAGGTCACTGGAAAACAGAAAATTTGAACTCAGATAGTATGTAGTGCAAGATATTTCAAATAGTTCAGTCAATCCAATGAAAAGCCAAAAGCTGTGTCTTGTTGGATTTTAAGCTAAATAAATAAGCAGTCGCGTTTACAAGTTGCCCTACTCTTAGTCCATTCTTGTTCCAAGCAAGAAGCAAATCATTAAAACTCATAACCTGAAGAAACGGTGGGCAATTTGTACCACAATCATAGCAAAAATAATTTAATAAGCCATATAAATGGTGCTGAAGAAGATTAAATATAACAAGATTTACTTTATTTCTGTAGGCACTAGACAATCAAAATCAACTTGGCAGGAACTGGAAAAGAAGCAAAATCAAGAGTGGCTGGTATGAACTGGATGTCTTACTCTGTGACCAAAAAGAAATGTGCTACTGCTGCATGTGATGGGAATATGAAATAAAAAATAGATCTTCAAGATGTTAAATATCAAAGCAACCATTTTCCCCCTGTAGAATCTCAATTTTGAAGAGATTATTATGAAGTTGTAGGTTGATTTCCTTGACCACTTGTTTATGCATACATCTTTGGGGTGACCCATGAAAATCTTGTGCATTTAGATATTAACTAATTTAGAACATGTAATGCAGACATTCAATTTATTGGGCCATTACTTGCTGTAAAGCATGGAATTGGAACAGTTGCTTGTTTTCATGCTAATTGATCGTTACAGAGTATTAAGTTGTCAGAGGGAGAACTTAAAAAGCACCAACGTTTTCAACTGGATAAGAAATGCTAATACCGTAGCTTTGCTAGATGACGCTAGGACGAGAAAAAGGGAAAACAGAAAATTGTGAAGAACAATGACAGAGAGCTTTTTCTCTCTTTTCTATTTTTCCCAGGAGAAGGTTAATCAGAGGGAGTGGTGAAGAAAAGGCATATCTCAAAATGACAAAGAGATTGGTTATAACGCGCGGTAAGAGGCATTCTTACATGATTGAGATCAAGAAGCACTTGAGATTGAGATTGAGATTTGATTTGATGATGAACTATTAACCAGATATGCATAGGTTTTGAATATGTGAAACCTTGGACCACTAGGAGTTGGGGCCGCTGCTTTGAGGAGTGCACCTTTCCTTTAACTAGAAATGGAACATGTGCTTTGCACGTGAACATGATGCTTTTAGATTTTTTTGCTTTAAAATTTCTAGAAAATTAATTATTTTGGAGGAATAAATGTAATTGAGGCAAACAAATGTAATATTTAATATTTATATTATTTGGAACTTAGTGTGCCCTAACCAATACAAATGTACAAGCAATAAACCATTCATTGTTCCAAAAGCACTTTTATTTTGTAACAATATCAATATTTTTTGTATTTTGGTTAAATTTAGATGACCTAAATGTTCATTTTTATGCCATTTGAGTTTAATTTTTTTTAATAATTTGTTGCTCCCCTTTAAATCAGTCTATGAAATGTTTATTAGTTTTAGTGAGACTTTCTAATTATTGCTACTTTTTTGCTAGCTGTGGATTGTAAAATGATCAATTGTACTATTGTAATTATAATAGTATCTAAACATATTGAAATTCCATTGTTCGAATTTAAATAGCTTAACTTTGAAGAGAAATGTTTTGATTTAGTGAAACTTATTTGCATTTCTTATTGATGACATGCTTTATGATAATAGTGTTTATATGATTAAAAATTGTAAGAAATTAAAATTATTTATTATATTATAGTCAACCTGGACTTGGATATATTTTTATTCATCTTTGAAGTACTCCTTGAAATTGATATTTATAAAAAAAAAATTTGGCTTAATTCACCATAATTCAAAGGGATGTTTCACCTTTGTAATTATTATTATGATTGGCATTGATGAATATAATATTCATAAATTATAGTTTAATACTGTTAGTTGTTACAGGAATATGACTAATAAAATTCATTAAATTTAATCTTTATTGCAATTTAAATAAATAAATTCCCAACATAAAACTCTTTGCCTACCTTGGTACTCCATTTGCTACTATATATTGGATTAATGTTTTTTAACTCAGTACCAATATACATATATTAAAAAGGTGCTCTTAAAGCTTAATTTACTTATATCCTAAAAATGAAAAGGCTTGCAATACTTTTTAGGAGACTCATAGTACCAATTTGTTATGTTTTGTTCCATATTTGAAATACTCTCTAAACTTGGATTTTGTAAATAAATTTGTTCTTCTTTCTTTTGATAAATAAAAAAAAAAGTAAGGAATCTTTCATTTTTGTAACTGCTTGCATGTTTGATATTATTTATTAATGATGAAATGCAACGCAATTTGTTCATTTATTAGAGAGGAGTGTAATTTTGGCATCACAAAAACTAATATCATTTTTCGCTTACACTATTAACCACTGAGATTCACCATATTTTATTATAATTTATAAATAAAATTTGCTCTTCATTTTTTGATTTAATTCTCTTTAACTCAAGGGAATGTTTTTCATTCTTGTAATTGTTAACATAACAGATATTAATAATTATTGATGAAATGCAATGAATTGGTTGTTTCTTTTTTGGTTTACTTAACCAGAATTATCACAATTCAAAAAATATTTCTTTGTAACGGTTAGCATAATTCTTATTAATTATTAAGGAAATGCAATGTAATTTGTCCATTTATTAGTGTCAAGGGTAATATTGGTATCACAAAAACTAAGACCAATTTTTACTTACACTCACACTAAAGGTTCAACATGCTTTTTATATAGTAATAGATAATAGATAGATAGATAGATAGATAGATAATCGATAGAGAAGAACCACAAACGTACAGACTTGTTAATCTGGTGTGGCCAGAATTGCTGGTCTAAGGAGTGGAAGAGGGTTTACAAATTTACTGCACATGATATGTAAACTAATCTGAAAAGTGCAATTATTGAATAGGTGCAATCATAACGTACGACAGATTAGCTGATATACATGACAAACAAAGTAAAGTCAATTCTTAATTTCTCCCACATTGTTACCTGATTAGTTGAATTGCTTGACTTCTGTATTATGCAAAACTTGCATTGATAACCCAGAAAATCTTGTGCATTTGGTTATTAACTGCTGAAACAATATATTAACTAAATCGTCCAATGAGGACATGGAACCATTTCCTATTGATGGTAATGTTATTTAGGACATATGACTCTCAATTATGACACAAAAGCATAAGAAAGACACCAAACAAAATTGAAAAGAACAACTTCATGCAATTTTTTCATTTTTTAAGATTTAAGAGACTACTAACATAAGTAAGATTTACTCAACATCATATAGACCGAGTAATTTTGAGATGGGTATCAACTGTAGGATTAGTGTAGTGGCTAGTGTCTGGGTCTCTTAAGGAATAACTATGAATCATAAAGTAACAGCATCATTCTAGACGTACTATGTTTAACTGCAAAAAGAGAACAGGCAAACTCACAAAATCATGTTGTATGTAATGGAGCCAAGATACAACTTCAAGAAGGGTGGTGATCAGCTTGTGGAGGACCGACTAATACGATAAGTAGTCACAAGATAGACTAACAATTTTCTGCAACTAATTGCGGCTAATTTGAGAGGCAAGCAGTCTGAGACAGAAAAGCAATTGAGGTCCATAATCAGTGAATTACTACCTCATATCATGACCAACAGTTTGAAGGCACCACATACACAGTGTAGATCTCAGACTTTGGCCATCTGAGTCACTTAGAAGCAAAAGAGAGTGCATTCTAGACGTTTGTCTTCAGTTTGAAAATGTTGTGGTTGAAGAAGGAATAACAGGATATAGACAGGTACGGGAGTAATTAGGCCATCGAGGTCTCCCGGAAGCTTTGAGCCTAATACCACTGCAAACAGAAAACTCAAACTCAGGATAGTGTATAGGAGATCATAAAGCTAACAAGAAATTTCAGATAATTGAATGACATTTCTGTTCAACAAATCTTACAGAAAGCTTAAAAAAAGTTTTTATCTTTGTTTTCATACCTAATTAGTAAGCAGATATGAAATCTTTCTTCTCAGTCTATAGATACCAGGTAGTGTCATGAAAATTGTTCTAGTTTGTGTAGCGACCAATAATTACTATTTGATGCTCAAAAGTCCAAATCGTCACAGTTAAAATTAAGTTTTCAACAAATGATAATCTGCCAAGTCTCTGGAGCTTCATTGCAGGAACAACACTATTTTCCTTGGCAACCTCAAAAATTAACTTGAATATGTCCTTCAATATTACATAGTTGGAGAAGAAAAGTTGAGTCATAAGTTAGGATAATTATAAGAGAAAAAAAGTGGTATTGTAGATTGCCAGTCCCCTTGCCAACACCAATTTAACAATCAAGGGGCAGAGGGAATTTGTCGATTGACAAGTGTCCTCATGATGAGAGATCATAACAAGGGAAAGTTGAGTCACATTTCATCTCTAAGAGACATTGCGGAGAAGATTAAATCTCAGATGGTGCACAGCAAGATGATGAGATGACAGGTACATTTTCAAGAGGTGAAAGTTCAGTGCAACCATTTTGTACCATAGAATATCAACTTTAGGAATCATGTACAAATCACGGTGGCAGACATATGTGGTGAGCAGATAAAAACTGCTCCTTTTTATTGAAAGATAGCAGAGGTATGAAACTCAGTGCAAATAGTCTTAAGCTATCATATTATGCTTGGCTGTCCATACCAAATAATCTGTTCTTAAATATCTGCCAATCTATAATTGGGGTGTATACCTGAGTTTGATGAAAGCCTCATATTAAAATCTCAAGAAATCTTGTTCCTGCATTATAATTACGAAAACAGGAAGTTCTATTAAATTTCTTGAGCTGGGAATATTACAAAAGTGAGTTTCTTTTGTTGCTTTTACCCTAAAGATAATGAGCTGGTAATAAGACTTGATCTTATGTAGGTATTTATCCGGCTTAGATATGCTAACCTCGGATAATTCTTGAAAGTTAGCAAAACCTGTAATGGTCAATCTATTTCACTAGTAATGATCATCAAACTGTAAAAAAGGATGACAGGTGCCGAACCTGTGCAATAATAAATACCTACTCGAGAAAAATACAGATTTTGTATATAACGGTAAGTAGGGTCGAATCCACAGGGACTGGGGATAATTCGTTTCTTCTAGAGTCCAAAGTATGGGGGGTTTTGGATTAAATACTAACTAAATAAATTAACTGCAGAAAATAATTAATTAAAAGAAATGATTGGGGAAACTCTAGCCAAGGGTACACATCAGAAATGGTTCATGCACTGATCATTGATGCAGAAATAATTCCAACATTTAGCAATAGATTAGTTATAGTTGTCATGCACGCGATAAACAACCAATCCTTCCTTAATTTCTCGATAGCTAAGGTACGACCGTTAGCTATTTCTCTAACCCACAAATAACCCTAGGTACGACCGTAGGATTTAATTTCTAGATTGCATTAATAATTAGAAAGATCCAATCCTAACCAACAAACACGCTACGAGGGTTTGTTTAAATTAGATCATATGCTCCCCTGACATAAACCCAATTACGCCAGTTGCTACTGAGGTAGAGATAACGAACAATTACGGATTCAATTACCCCTATTTAGCAAAAATAGCCTATATGAATAATTAATTATTGCGCACTAATCAATCATACACAAGGCCATAGCAATTAAAATCAAGGAACATATAAATACCAATAAATGAAGAAAATAATTAAAACAGATTCGATCTCACAGTAATTGTCGAACCAAATCGTCAGTTGTCCCCTTGACTAGAAAAGCTTAACCACGCCTCATGAGAAAATCTCCCCGTTGGGGAATATTGTCGAATACCTGGCGTGTGTCAGAGGCCAGTCCAAAGAAAGAAAACTAGAACTAAACTAAAAAAACTAAAACTAAAGCCCTAGATTTCTTTTGCTTCTGTACGTTGTCCCCTTTTAAAGCAACAAAAGAAAGATGACTAAAAGCTATCTAGGTGGTCCCCACACATGTGGACAAAGCCTCCCAAGTACTTCTTGTTCCAAGTCTCTCTACGTTGCTTTCTTTGAAGCCCAAATGACCAAATGCCTTTCACTAGCTTGTGGTC